TTCTCACAGGTGTTGTTGAGTTCGGTAGTGTGATTTTGGAGGCTCTGTTGTCATGATGAATAAAACATTGGTCGTCTATATGAGCAAGTCTCAAAAGTTGGCCCCGAAAGTGTGACAAAAAAATGAATTTTGAAATCTAACAAACTGAACCAAAAGCAATCTCATTTCATCAACAGTAAGCTAAAGTTTCATTATGTACTGAATTTAAGATAGAAAGTCTGACCGTTTTTTTGTAATGTTCAATTTCCGGGCAAACTTCAGTTACTGAATGGACATGATGATGACAATAAAGTGTACAGTAATTTGCAAATTTCAATAGGATTTGTCTAAAACTCATCAGGAGGATAATAGAGATGGGCAAAATCAAGGCAAAAAACATCAAAATAGACCAACTGTACCACAATTATCTGTCACATTTCCACTTGGATTACTGTCATACATCATGTCCGTAATGTCTGATACGTAAATTTCTCATTTATTTGGTACCTAATGAAGTCTAAAGAACTCTCTTGAACCCATATGAAGTCATTTGTCTTATTCAGAGACATGATTTTGAGCAAACAAAAAAGATGCCAAAGGTTAGTGAGCGTGCAGATATGCAATGGACATGACATATGAAGTGATAACAAGAAGAAACATGTCATGCACCATGTCCATTTATCCTTTCATCCTCTGAGCATCGTAAAGCATACCCAGGCCCCAAAATAGGTTTTACAAGTATACTTTACAGTTTAAATATAAATATGATTGGTATAACAAATCTGATCAAGAAATATTTTATAGCAATAGTGATATTGGAGGTGGACATGTTGATGACATTAAACTTTTTGTCATTGATCATGTCCATCCATTTTCTGTCAATTTTTGCCTTTTTGTTCCTTTGAAGGCTTAAAATTCGTTAAGATGTGCCTCCGTTATTTTTATCTTCTAAGCAGTAATGAATTTTGCAATATTCTACAACAAAAAGCAGATGAAAATGTCATGGACATGATGATGACAGGAATTTTTTCCGTCATTGCTCATATCCATGAGTGACCATCTCTAAATTTAAGATTTGTGTGTAAATCATCAAACACTATTTTATGCAAATGGTTCTTACACAGAAACTAAACCATGCTTTATTAGATTTAACGAGACCATAGCTTGTTTAGCCACCGGACGTGACAATTTAACAGATCTGAAACCGACATGATGCTAAGGAAAGTGATGACAAAAAACTTTAGTGCCTCTTATCTCCTCCACGGCCCTCCATCAGCAGCAATATGTGCTCAGTTTCACCCGGGAACATTGATATGGCACTAGTTGATTCATTACAAAGTGTGGTAGTAAAGCAGAGAAACAAATACAGGCTCATGAACGGACATGATGAAATGACAGAAATTGCGATGAGAAAGTTTTTTTGTTTATAACATCCCGATTATGAGTCAAAAC